CTTCAAATTGTGAATATTAGTTTAACTGTCAGAATTTCTAAGAGGACAATTGATGACTATGAATTAGAATTTTGAAATGGCTTTGAAAGAAATCTTAATGTGTAAAAACTCCAGAAATTTATGCCTCAAGTTTTTAATCTGTACTCGAATTGAGAATGTTTCAATCTTTTTTGTAATAACTGAGTTTTTTAATCATTTTAATGAGTTTTTAAATAATTTTATAATCCTTAGTGCATTCCTATTAGTAAGAAGATGGCATAAAGTCTTGCTGTAGACAATTCTACATGATATTAATGATGTAAATAAGTAATTATTCCGAATAGACTTTTGACTGAATCTTGCTGTTATTTTGAAGGATAGAAAAGTGAGGAGTGTGACTTTTTGGCACAGTCCAGAATATTCTGATACATGACAGTATAATTCAGAGGCAGGAATGACAAGCAAATTTTCTTCTTTCCATAGGTTCTTATAACTAATTAGAAACACTTCATTCCATACTTTGTTCTTATTCTTTTACTCCATTCTACACCTTCTTATTCCGGATGCCACGATTCCTTTTGTCAATCTCACTTTAGTGCCTACCTGAAAGTCAAATTGAGAATCCAAGTGAGGATTACCTTCAACTTCTCATGAATGTAAATTTCTTCTACTAATATATCTCTATTCAAAAGCAGTAGACCTAGAGTCAGTAAAACGTATGTGAGACAGTTGTGATTCTCAACATAACTGGATTAAGCGCCACCCAGTGGCTTAGTAAAGTACAGTCCTGAGTGTGCCCTGGTGGGTCATAGAAGCATGCTCTTGGGTCCCTCCTTGTCCCTTTCTCTTCAGGGTTTTTGGCCTGCCCTCTGCTTCCTTACTCTTGTTAACTGAGTCCCTTTGCTGTGCCGTACTCTTCTGCCGTGATGTTTCTGCCCTGGTGACAGAAAATCATAAACTGAATACCCTAAAACCATGGGCCAAATATCCTCTCTTTAAGTTGTGGGAATCTGGTATTTTTTACCAACAACAGGAAAGCTGACCAATACATTACCTGAAAGAAATCTAGAACCATATTCCTTCTAAACATAGGATAGTGATTTCCAAATACAATTTTGCTAAAAAGTCCTACTATTTATGTGTCATATCTCTTCAAAATATTTACAACTTAAAACTTTATTTTTAAAAGACAATATATTCTATGTCATTTTTTGAAAAGATAATATTATGAAATTTGTTAAGCAAGGTACTACATAGCAAAGATATTTGGAAATCACATACTTAAAAAAACTCTGGTAAGGGACAATTTGTATCTTTGGTAAATAACTGGTTTGAGGCAATCATTAAAGAGTCAAAGGGTTGGAAATTTAGCTCAGTGGTTCCGCCACCTGCCTTGCAAGCACAAGGACCCAAGTTCGATCCTGGTACCAAAAAAACAAATGAGCAAGCAAACAAGCAAGCAAACAAACAAAAAACTTGAGTAATTCAAATATTTAGCCCGGCATGGTGGTGCACGCCTGTAATCCCAGCATTCAGGAGGCTGAGGCAGGAAGATTGCTATGAGTTCAAGACCAGCCTGGGCTACAGAGCTGAGTTCCAGAGCAGTCTGAACTACATAGTGAGACCCTGTCTCAAAAAGAAAGAAAGAAAGAAAGAAAGAAAGAAAGAAAGAAAGAAAGAAAGAAAGAAAGAAAGAAAGAAAGAAAGAAAGAAAGAATTAAGACATGCTTAGATTTTTACTCATCTTGAAAAATAATTTCTTCTTTGTTGAAATTCATAATTGTGGATTTAATTGTCCAGAAACTGAAATATACACTCTCTGTGGTGAATTTTCTTTAAAATTCAGACTGCAGCATTATGATATTGTACATTACACGGATCAAGCCCACTGTCCCTGTCTTGACATTTGAATAGCAGTGACACCAGAAAAGAAATGACCAGCTCTTCATGTTTCAAGAGTGAAAAGCAGTAGGAACCAGACTGCTTGCCTTTATCAGTGTAGCGTTTAAGGTGTACACTTGCAATCAGAGATTTAGTTCGTGTATTCAGTAAAATCACTAATAATTCACCTTCAAGTTCCATTGTCTTCACTTTTTATTACAAGTATGCTATGCTCAAAGGCTATACAAAAGATCACAGGAGATGAAGTTTTATTGAACCTGGGAAGTCCCAATTTAACAAACATTCAAGTGTTTAGAGTTCTTAGATTGTATTATTCTTAATAGGCAACACACAAAAGGAATCTTATAAAACCAAACTAAGTGCTTCTAAAATAAGTATTTTGATGTCACCTATTCTTCTCAATTAGGTCACGTGTTGATGGTTGATTATAATTACAATCAAAAGGCCAAACTGGAATTGTTGTTACATATATAACTTTTACAAGAACACTGGGTCTACATAACACTTTATAAACTGCTTGTGGTGTAAACTATCTTCATGTCATTTGATCATTGTAAAAATATTGTGAGATAATCATAATAGATAAAATTAAATGTTTGATAGACAAGAGCGTCAGAATTGTATATAATAATGTTTTCTTTACTCATTCTAAATAAAGTGTGCTAGAAATTTAATTTTTGAGTAAGTGTAATAAATGTAATTAACTTAATATTCTTATTTTATTTTACTCTATAGTATAATTCTTTTTAGTTTAGCTGTTCTCCTTTGCGTCAAAATCAAACACAGAATGATTAGTCCTTCTGACTTCATTATCATTCGAAAAAATGTAAGGATATTTATTTCTTTAGTTAACAAATTTCATTTTGATTAATTGTTTAAAATACAGGTGATATAATAATCATATCTTTGTTGACTCAATTTTTTTCTGGTTAGGAATATTAAAATTAAACAAAGTGTTTCTCTTAACATATGAAGTGACACATATATACATATATTATATATCTAGTGCATATTCAATTATTATTTACACACAATGATCCTTTGAGCCACTATATTCCTTATGATCTAATGATTTAGAGATAGATCAAGTTAAGTTTTACATTCAAATCCTATGTAAAACTCTGAGAAATCAATGGATGGAAGTGATAAAACCAACAGATGGAGTAAATGTCTTTCTCAGAATGAATATTAGGATATAATTTAAAGAAGAGGTCTATTCTTATATTTTCAAAATTCTTAACACTGACAAACCTGAAGCATATTCTGTAACATCAGTTAATAAAGAATTTTTATCATTTTTTGAGAAATAATTTCAATACAATTAAGCAGGCTCTTAATTTCAAAACTGATATCCTGGGAAATAATACAGTTATGGAAATTGGACTAAGTAATCCATAAAATTGATATTTTAAAATGTTTCTTCTCACCAGGGTTAATTTTATGAATTCAAAATCTTTAATCATTAAGACCGTCTAAGATAATAGTTAAGTTTAGGTTTTTCTCAGTTGCAAAATGTAGATAATTCATCTTTGTAAATTTTATTTTTTGAAATTGTAATGATTCAGAACTTTTCTTATATTCAATATATTTATCATCTAAAAGCTAACCAAATATATATTTTTAACATGTTAGTAGTGTTTGAAAATTTATGTTACCCTTTTTATTAATATATTTTATAATTAAACTTTCCTGATAAAAGTCTAATCAAAATGCTTGAATATCAAGTGATGCTTTCTATACATAAATACATGGAAGCCTGGTGTGGTGGTGCATGCCTGTATTCCCAGCACTTGGGAGGCTGAGGCAGGAGGATCACTGTGAGTTCAAGACCTGTGTGAGCTACATAGTGAGTTCCAGGTCAGTATCAACTACATAGTGAGACCCTGTCTCAAAAAACCAAAAAAAAAAAAAAAAAAAAAAAAAAA